CAATGGGGGTTCCCAGGGCCCTTAGGCTGACTACTAAGAGAAGGCCAGGCGAGGTACTGCTCACAGGTTATCCCAGAGCTACCAAGTAAACAAACTAAGAGCTGAACCCCTGCAACATGTGTAAGCACAAGCACCAAGAAGAGGGCCACCAAAATCATATTAGTACATGTAGTACTACAGCCACACCAGACAGACCCCACCAGGCAAAACAAAACAAAAACAAAAAAGAAAAACCCCGCAACAGCACGTTTCCACAGGAACAGAAATGGTCGCTGTGTGTATATCATACAGCTGCAGTCCCTCGCACCCCCAGCTGGCGGCAATACTGCATCCTACCCAAGGTCAAACAGGAGTAAGAACCACCCCAGCTGAACCCCCAAGTGCGGGCAATCACCAATCAGCAACAGAACTATGCGGAGGTAGTGTTCCGTAAGGCTCATGGAAGTTAACCCTAAACCGCAAGGGCAGTACTTACAGGGTACCTAGGGAAGATGGCCCTAAGTGCATGCAGCCCCAAAATTCTTGTATTCACCTATTTGTGCTTGTGGGGGGTTGAGCTCTGCTCTTTCGGCCCGCCTCTCAACTGTCAATCAATCATCTGTTACTAACTACTAATTTTTTTTCCCCCTCCACACTTCCCCCCCCCCCCCAGGAAGCAGCTCGTTGCAGCTGTCTAACCCCCAGGTACCTATTTACTGCTTGGTAACAGGGGCATCAGGGTTAAGGAAACTCTGCCCATCTGTCTCCGCCGGGTGCAGGGATCAAACCCCGGCCCCTAGGTCCACGAGTCTAAAGCTCTGTCTACTTGGCCAGCCAGCCCCCAGGGGCTGGGTGTTTGTGTTTGTGATTGTGATTGTGTTACTCCTAGCTCGCATACCTCCAACACACAATAACACCGGTATGTAGCACTGCTCAGAAGGATGGAGCCAGAGTCAATCGACATGTCACCAACACAACAGCCTCTTGAACCAGGACTGGTTAGCCGGTGCGGGAGATCTGGGACCCCCTTTCCTTCCCAGGGAGGGGAGAGTTGCGCAGACAGCGGCACGGCGGCTGTGGTGACGTCATGCTCGTTTACTTTTTTTTTTTATTGGGGAGTTCTGTTTGCAATTTTTACCCAGCTGTAGTTTGTTTTGGAATTCCTACCTTTCTGGGTGCCTAACCTGGTAGATGGCAGACAAAGACTGCTTCCAATTACATGGGGGTGTCTATACGCCATTGCTCCTCATGCCTCATCTGAGGGGACCAGGTTCTGACGCTGGTCCCTGGTAAACCTAATACTCCATCGAATGACTGTTGCCACGGTCTAATATATACACATCAGCCCGGTATAGCTCTGGGGGAGCTGAAGGGGCTCTCCACAGAAAAGAAAGGTTTTTGACAGATTCACAAGAGGTTATTCTGGAAATCAGAATATACATGAGATGACAGGAACACTTCTGACATGGATGACAAATTTTCTAACCAACAGAAAAAAGTAGTACAGTAATTAGAGGCAATGTATCAGACTGGAGAAATGTTACAAGTTGTGTACCACAGATTACTGTGGTTACTGTTCTAGCAAGAGTAATGCTCATTATCTATATAAATGATCGACCAGAAGACAGGATTATATGAACATGTTCACTGAAAATGCTAAGCTACTAGGATATGTAAGAAACTTAGATGATTGTCAAGCCCTGCAAGATGACCTGGAGAAAATGTTTGTATGGAGCACCTTTTGGATGATGTATAATGCGAATAAATGCCATATTATGAAATATGGAATAGGAGAAAATAGGCCACACGCAACATACAAATTATATGACAAGACTTTAAAAAACTGTTAAGGAAAGATCAAAGGGTAGTCTTGGATAGAAAATTGTCACCCGAGGACCACATAAAGAATATTGTGTGAGGAGCCAATGCTCCTCTTCAACTTCAGATTTGCTTTTAAATACACAAATAGCAAAATAATAAAAGAAATCATTCACAACCTTTGTGAGATCAAAAATTGCAATTTGCAGTGGTTGTATGGTGCCCATATGTTAAGCAGCTCATAAATGAACTGGAAAAGGTGCAAAAACATTCTACTAAATGGCTTCTGGAACTAAAACACAAATAGCCAAGAGGCAATAGCCAAGGCTATTGGTGTTAAAAATGCCAAAGATTTAAATTAAGGAAACAAAAATGCCCAAAAAATGATTAAATTTTCTTTAGCAGAGTGGAAGATGGTTGATATCAGAACCATTAGTAATTTCAAAGCATCATGTGACATTACTGCACTGGGAAAAGTGGACACCACAAGCATAGCTCTCGTTCTCTAATGCCACTTGGGTAATTACAGTTAGACATCAGCCAAAGGACTGAGGTGTGTTGACATGGAAGCCAGCAGATCCCAGTGGTGCTGCCACCTGGCTGTGTTTTACCTGCAACTTGGGAGGGTATGAACTGACTACCAAGTGGTTTGTTTGCAGAGTTGCTTGCTGCTTCAGTTCTTGTTTCTCTACGAACCATGCAGCTGTGTTTTGCTTCACTTACTTAATGGCTGTTTCCTTGGTGTGGGAGATCACACAATTCCTGCTCCCTGTACCTCTGAGTGGGCCAAGTTCTGGTTTTGATCTCCAACAGATTCTTAAGGATTCCTAAAATTAATGTGATTCAGAGGTGTCCAGCTATCTCAGTGACAGCTTCAGGGAGCCACTATTTGGCCCCTCCAGAAATCTTATGTAATGGAGTATGAAAGGGGTGAACATATTACCTAGAGTCACTGCAATAAGTGTCTTATGAATTTGTAAAGTAACACTGAAGTGACTGTTACAAGCCATATGTCACCACTATATATATGGAAACATGCAATGCAGGCCAACCTCCGTATAGTATATAAGTACATGGACAGCGAGATATTAATAAAAAACAGCGCTACCGAAATTATAAGACAGTATACAGCAATGTACCTAAATTGGTGTTTTTAAAGGAATGCAACAAAATGTATTCTAAGACTCACAGTTGACTTGTTAACCATTAAAGTGCGCATCACGTCATATGACGTGTTGGACGTTGTTCCAGTCAACTGCGCATCACGTCATATGACGTGTTGGAGTACTACGCAAGATTTAAACGGCCGGCGGATACACGGGGTTCACCACACCTTCATCAGGGCTCTTGTAAACAGACGCCATTTTAAAAAAAAATCGTGGGCCAAACTCCTGGGTGTTATTGGCCTCAGTATTGAGTGAACAACCAAGCCTGACGCAGCAAGCATGAGCTAACAGCACTGCTGTTCAGCTTGTGACCACAGCATCTCCTAAAAATGCCAAAATATACTTGTTCATGCTATTATGTAGCGATGATGATATTACAGAAGACCCCTGACTGATAAAACTGACCAGGGTTCTGATAATAGCAGGATTGTGGTGATATTTAGTGCTGTGCGCCATGGAGGGAGGAGTAATGCTGTGGGAGGGAGGGTGGTGGCGATGTTTTCTGACTGTGTGTGGCCACCTTTTATTGACTGCACTCACCATACCAGCTTAGTGGTTCGCTATGGTGAACACAAATGTAGATACTTATATATAACGTGTGTATAGAGGGGTATAAACAGCAAGAGAAGGTTGGGAGCCGCCATTTTGGTGAGGGCAGTGGCGTCGTCTGCACGACGCCACCGTGCAGACGACGGTGTTGTCTACTGGTTACCATGATGGTCTTTGGGCACCATACCAGTTTATTTGTACAAGTATGGTGAATAAAATAGGTAGATATTAATATATAATGTGTGTATATAGCGTAATAACACCACACAGTATTGTTGGAGGAGAAATATTAGTGCGTCTGACCTTGAGGGCGGTAGCCATCAGCTGATTGTGTGAGGTTCTACGTCTTTGTGCCTTTACTCACCATACAAGCTTAGATGTACAGATATGGTGAACAAAACATGTAGATACTTATATATAACGTCTGTATATAGTGAATTATAGCAAAAACAGTATTGTGGGAGGAGAATGTGGGTGAGTCAGATGACTTGAGGGAGGGCAGGAGTGGCTGGCTGGTACACGGCAGTCACTCCTCGTTACTTTTTGACTCATAATAGCTACTTAGTGGTTCGTTATAGTGAACAAAACATGCAGATACTTGTATATAATCTGTGCTTATAGTGTAATAACTGACAAAGTATTTGTTCACTGATTGATGAACATAATTGAATCGACAATATGCACACCATATTTTTGAGTACAGCAATGATTCACTCATTTTATTATATAAATATATCAAACTACACACTATTGAATAATATTACAGCAAAAAAACTATGAAAAATCAATCAGACACATTGAAATAATTAGGTAATTATTTCTTTGTGGCAACTCCGGCCTGACAGCTGGCGAGCAACAGACCGCCTGGGACGCACGCTGAGTCAGCGCCTATTTTTTGGCAGACTTCCCCGCCCTACAGCGGGCAATATATGCCACTTACGATTTTTTTATTATTTTTCCCGTGATCAGTGAACACAAATTAACAGGTTAGGAAGAAATTTTTTTTTTTCAAAATTACATGCGCCTATGGGGAAGAAATGATATTATACCCCTAGCATGTTAAGGGTTAAGAAAGGTAAGATTTTCTGAATCTTTCTGAACTGTGAGAGAGAGAGAAGAAACCATGGAAACATGACCACCACAAAAATAATGACAGCTTGAGAAAGTTGTTAAGACTCATTGCCTGTCTAAATCAAAATGGAGGACATAAGTACATGATCAAAAACACCTATGGAGAAATAATATCAGTAAATATTTCTCCAGTAATTAGCATAGTTGTGAGATAGAATAACTTTCAGGAGAAAGTTTTGTGAGCTAAAAATATCAAGTTTTGTTTGAACTCAATAAAAATTTATAAAGAGGACCGGATGCCATGAGAATAGCTGTCTATATTGCTATAATTAGGTCATTATAGTTGTGTTAATACACACTTTTTTATAAAAAATTATCTTGAGCTTCATTATCAGTACTGAGAATAGTAATATTTACCAATGAATATTGTCTGCGTGAAGTCCACGGAGGGTTAGGTCACAGCTTGAATGTCCCAAAGAAGTGGTACCGTTTTTAAGCCTGTATGAAAGTGTCTCAGAAAGTTGTGGATCTTCACTCAAGTTGATCAACATAGGACCTGTCTCCTTCTGTTATAAACAAAATGTAGCAAAATAAATAATTACAAGAAACTAGGCAGAATGACTAAAATATTGATGTTGGTTTCACAATATATGTAATAGTCACTTTGAAAAACAATTGCATAGGTAAAATATTATTAATATAAATAACAAATATTTGTATTTTAATATAAAATATTAAAGTTAATAAAGACAGTCCTCAGTTTGCATGCATATAATTATCTTCTAAAACTTGGATAAAGCAAAACCAGAGTAACATTTGTTATTTGTTAGCAACATATAAACAACATTTGTTATCAGCTTTATTTTCAGTCTTAAACAGAGGAAGGGGGGGGACTTTGAATGTAATGAAACGCCAATTTCTGGGCGAGTCCCGGAGGTGTCCCGGAGGCGTCCCGGAGGACTCGCAGGGAACAGCGAAGAACCACAACTGAACAACAAAGGAAGTCCCCCGGCCTGACCATCAAAGCAGCAACTCAAGGACCAAAACGAGAAGAAAGAAAATAGAACATCCGGGCCAACGACCCGGACGGCACTGGAAAAGCAAGAGCAGGCCGGAGGCGAAATATAAAGAAAAAATTAAGGAACTCGGCACCAAGACCGAACATTGGGGTAGTCCAAAAGCAGGGAACTAAACATGGACAGAGGCCCACCCCAGCACCTAACGTCAGTATAGCCAATAAGTACCGACCCAGATACACAGCCATGTGTAGCACAGGAGGAAAAAACAGAAATAAGCATAGAAAAAAACAAAATACGGACCAAGTAGCAGCCAGGAATGCAATGTACACGACCAACTACAAAGTGTGGAGTGGGAGGTCGCACAAACACAGAGGGACACCATGAATATCAGGGTGCAGCCAGGCACCAAAGATAGGCAAGGAAGAAGTGTCCAGAGAAGAGAGACCAAGCAAGAAAGGAGGACACAAAAGCATGGACCGGGGGAACAATGGAGTGTACAAAGAAAGGGAAAAGACCAGGATGTCAAAAACCAACAAAAAGCACCGAAATGCTGGGCAGTGCCCCACAGTACAACGAAGAACAAGATACACTGACAAAGTAAAGTCTCAGAAAACACAAGCAAGGTGTCCAGGCAAACCACACAACACCCAACAACCTTGTTAGGAGCCATCGATGCAACCCTGTCAAGCGGGGAAGTGAGAGTAAACAAAGGGGGTACACGTACAAAGGTACACAGGAGGAAGCCGAGTACCCAAATGAGCCACAGACATTAAAAAGAACCTTATCAATGTCAGAGGAGGTAGGAACGAAATGCACTATGAAGCAATGTGGTGGAGGCAGACTCCACACACAGATGCAATTGTAGAGAAGATAGAGCCCAGTAGGCCTAGGAAACTGCACACCCGTCGACCAACAGTTGAAAGGCGGGACCAAAGAGCTAGAGCTCAAGCATAGCATCAGAGCAAGCACAACTAGGCAAGTACCCCACCAAAAGTTGAAAACCAGCACCCGCGTGTGACTGTATACAACAAACTGGAAAAGGTGCAAAGACATGCTACTAAGTTGCTCCCAAAACTGAAGGGCAAGAGCTACGAGGAGAGGTTAGAGGCATTAAATATGCCAAAACTAGAAGACAGAAGAAAAAGAGGTGATATGATTACTATGTACAAAATAGTAACAGGAATTGATAAAATTGATAGGGAAGATTTCCTGAGACCTGGAACTTCAAGAACAAGAGGTCATAAATTTAAACTAACTAAACAAAGATGCCGAAGAAATATAAAAAAAATTCACTTTCGCAAACAAAGTGGTAGACGGTTGGAACAATTTAAGTGAGAAGGTAATGGAGGCCAAAACCGTGAAAGCGTTATATGACAAAGAGTGCTGGGTAGACGGGACACCACAAGCATAGCTCTCGTCTTGTAACTACACTTAGGTAATTACACACACACGCACACAACTAGGAGGGCCGGTGTCTGTGTGGATAGCACGCTGGACACGTAATCCTGTGGCCCGGGTTCGATTCCCGGCGCCTGTGAGAAACAAAATTGGGCCGAGTTTCTTTCACCCTGAAGCCCCCGTTACTTAGCAGTAAATAGGTACCTAGGAGTTATACAGTTGCTATGGTCTGCTTCCTAGAGGCTGTGTGTGGGTGGAGCCGGGAAAGGGAAGAAAATTAGTTAGAACAGTAGTTAGGAAAGTTGAGAGGCGAGCGAAAGAGCAAAGCTCATCCCCTGCAAGAACAACTAGGTCAATACACACATTATATTATTATTATTATTAGTGTTTATACAGTGGCACCTCTATTAACGAGTTTAATCCATTCTGGCACCGAGCTCGTTATGTGCAAAACTCGTCTTAAACAAATTTCCCCATTTAACTGCGCGGCCTATAAATATGACACCCCCTCCCCCACCAGTGTGCAAGAAAAAAATTCTCGGGAAAAATTTTTTTTTAGTTCTGAAAATGTCAAAAACCCTTCCCTGTATATGGGTATAGCAATAGAATTTTGAAATTGTACTTACTTTGGCTGCTATGGGGTCCATTAGGTGGCGTGTGATGTCATCATGCTTGAAACAATCAAGGGACCCCACCTCCACCACGTTATGCGGCAATTAGTTACACAAATCAACAACCGTGTTACTGAACCAGTATTTACCCAAGTCTTTCCTAAATCTAAACTCATCCAATTTATACCCATTGTTTCATGTTCTGTCTTGTGTTGATACTTTTAATATCCTATTAATATTCCCCTTCGTTATGTCCATTCATTCACTTGTAAACCTCTATCATGTCACCCCTAACTCTTCGCCTTTCCAGTGAATGCAACTTAAGCTTTGTTAATCTTTCTTCATATGAAAAATTTCTAATTTGGGGAATTAATTTAGTCATCCTACGCTGGACTCGTTCAAATGAATTTATATCCATTCTATAATATGGCGACCAAAACTGAACTGCATAATCTAAATGGGGCCTAACCAGAGCAAGATATAGCTTAAGAACCACACCAGGTGTCTTGTTACTAACGCTTCGATTAATAAATCCGAGTGTCCTATTTGCCTTATTACGACCATTCATGCATTGATCCTTTTGTTTTAAATTCTTACTAATCATAACTCCCAGATCCCTTTCGCAATCCGACTTCGCAATCTCAACACCATCTAGCTCGTATCTTGTAACTCTATCATCATTACCTAGCCTCAGAACTTTACATTTATCAGCATTAAACTGCATCTGCCAATCCTTTGACCATTTCAAAACCCTATTTAGATCAACTTGAAGTGATAGTGAGTCTTCTTCCGATTTAATTTCCATACCGATTTTTGTATCATCGGCAAATTTGCAAATGTTGCTAATCAAACCTGAATCTAAATCATTTATATAAATTATAAACAACAGAGGTCCCAGGACAGAGCCTTGAGGCACTCCACTTACAACATTTTCCCACTTTGACTTGACTCCATTTATACTAACTCTCTGTTTCCTTTGGTATAGCCATGCCCTAATCCTGCTTAATATAGCACCCCCAATACCATGAGCCTCTACCTTTTTAATCAGTCTTTCATGTGCCACTGTATCAAAAGCTTTGCTAAAGTCAAGGTACACAACATCACAATCCTTACCACTATCAACTGCCTCAACTATGCTAGAATAAAAAGATAACAAATTTGTTAAACATGAACGGCTATTTATAAAACCATGTTGTGACTCGATTATTAATTTATGTTTTTCAAGATGAAGACAAATTTTATTTGCAATTATAGATTCGAGTAACTTTCCCACAATAGACGTTAGGCTAATTGGTCGATAGTTTGACGCAAGTGATCTATCTCCTTTCTTAAAAACTGGTATCACATTGGCAACTTTCCATAACTCTGGCACTCTGCCTGACTCTATTGATTTATTAAATATAGTAGACAGTGGGTCGCAAAGCTCCACTTTGCATTCTTTAAGCACCCTGGCAAACACTTTATCCGGCCCTGGGGATTTGTTTGGTTTGAGTTTTACTATTTGTTTAAGAACATCCTCCCTGGTAACTGCTAAACTATTCAACCTGTCCTCATCTCCACCCACATAGACTTGTTCGGCTGAAGGCATATTGTTAAGTTCCTCTTTAGTAAATACAGATATAAAATATTTATTAAAAATACTACTCATCTCTTCATCACTATCTGTTATTTGACCTGTCAGTTTTTAATGGACCTATCCTTTCCCTAATCTTTGTCCGGTATATTTGGAAAAACCCTTTAGGATTAGTTTTTGCTTGCTCTACTATGCAAACTTCATAGTTTCTTTTTGCTTTCCTTATCTCTTTTTTAGTATTTCTAACCAGTTGTACAAATTCCTGTTCTAAACAGACTTCCCCATTCTTAATTCTCTTTGTACCACACACTCTTTTTTTACCTATAAGGTTCTTCAGATCCTTTGTTATCCACTTCGGATCATTAGTATTCGATCTATTCAATTTATATGGTATACTACATTCCTGGGCTTTGGTTAGAATATTTTTAAATAGGTTATATTTTGAATCCACATCGAAAACCCCTTTTACGTCACCTATCGCTGGGTTCACGTCTAGCTCCAATACCGGCCCACAACCCATACCCAAGACTTTCCAATCTATTTGACCCAAAAAATTTCTTAGGCTACTGAAATCAGCTTTTCGAAAATAAGGCACTTTAACAGAATTTTCTCCTACAGATCTATTCCCTTGAAGGCTAAATCTGATTTCTTTATGATCACTGTTCCCTAGCTCACTCCCTATTTCGATGTCCATAATTTGTGTTTCCCTGTTAGTTAACACTAAATCTAAAATATTATTTCCCCGCGTTGGTTCCTGAATGTGTTGCGTAAGAAAGCAATCGTCAATTAATTCTAGAAAATCTTCTGCTTCATTATTCCCTGTTTTGTTTAACCAGTTTATTCCACTAAAATTAAAGTCACCCATGACATAAATACTGTTAGATCTAGATGCTCTAGATATTTCATCCCATAGATGCTTTGCTTCCATTCTGTCTAAATTTGGTGGCCTATATATAACTCCTATT